GACCTCTTATGTACATGCTGAAGTAATTAAAGAAACGATAGCGTTGTAACTCAAAAATTGTTTAATGTAAACACTATATACATGTAAGTACAAAAAGTTAAGGTAGGTTCAAAACTCGAAATCAAAAGACTGATGCGTGGTTCCGAAGTCTGCATAATGTAAGCGTACTGCCTTAATTGTGTTCTGCGTAATGTACGTTTAAAGTGTAACTGAGCCAATCCAGTATCTTTCTTTTGTGTAAATATTATTGGAATAATTAGGGGGGAGTACTGTGGGGAGTAAGGGAAATCCCCTAGCGAATATATATGTATACTGTACCTGATACCATATCGAACGAATTTACATACGGCGACCCTGTGAAGTCAGTCTGCGCATACCTGCCTGCCAAGGCACTTGTCTCTCTTACCACAATAAAGCTTACTAGTAATCTCAGTTACTCTCGTACCAGAGTTATTCTCTTTCTCTCTTTTTTATTCTGGATCGTCCTGGCAGAGTGGAGCTGTCCGCAAATATATAGCTAACCAGGCTACGTATCTCCACATGTCGGCTTGGTTGGAGAGAGAGTAAATTAGTTGAGTCGTGCGCTTGCGTGAGAAGTCTTAGTTGTGAGACACATTAGATTCGTTCAAACCCCCCTTTGGTTCGGTCCTGGTTTAGCACTGTATAGGTAAACTTCCTCTCAAAAAACCTGGGGATATTTTGTGGGAAAAAGTATATCTATGCAGTGCATAAGCGAACTGAACTAAGGGGAGGGGGGTTTAAACGAACGTAGTGCTACTGATCCTTAATTGAGATGCCGAAGGTGTCTCGAAGACGTGCTTGTGCTCTTGTCTCATACGTGCCGTGCGCTGTCTGCTTGCAGCATATGGCCCGTGGGATAACTTTCGGCTAGCCGAAGTCTTTTTCGGCTTATGCTTCTTGATGTTTTATTTGTAGCATTTATGAATTTAGTTACGATAATTTTTTATAACAATAATGAGAAACGTTAAATGTAATGATATTGTCAATAATGAATTATAGAAAGCTGATTATAGATGAATTATACAATTTAACATGTTTATTGATTTTAATAATTTCCTAATAATTTATAACTTACAACGTCTGTTAAAATGAAGTATAAAAAATAAAACTAATTAAATCAATAAATTTACGTGTTAAATTAAAATATCAGTATAATATTTAGTATTTATAAATTTTAAATGAATGACTGTAAAATTTTTTCGATAGCCTATATTACAACGGTTTTTTTTTTCTGTAACATGCATTAAATTAATAACATTCAAAACAGCACATTCATTTTCGCCTGTTTCAAAAAAATATTAATACAACCTATTAATCTCACTCATACATAAAGCAAAGTTCCAAAAACTATTATAATCGCTAACCGCGAAAACCACTGACACTGATGATGCTTGACACTTCCTTGATGGTTTTCGTGTAGTTTTTATTAAAAAAAAACTAATAATAGCAATAAATATGCTGAAAGTTTTGCAAAAATCCGCTTGCTTTTCATTTTAGCTCAGCGGGATCCGCTTGGTGGCGTTGAAGTAGAATCAAAGCCACGTGCAGTCGAAGTAAATTCGAGTGAAATGTTGATCATCATAATCGTGCAGCTGCCGAATATCAAGTCAAGCTACCTGCACCCAGCTCTTCATCAGTAGGAATAATAATAAGGCATGACTAATAGAAAAGTATCGCCACAAGCTTTTTTCCAAACCAGGATAAGTTTTTACGTTCACTAAATCACCATTAATCTTATCGATTCTTTTTGGGGCCATCTAAATTTAAACTACCTTGCAAACAAATATATTTTCACAATTATTTCCAACAACGATTCGTCCACCATAAGACTATATGAAGCGGGCCAGTCAGTCATTCACTGACAGACGTCTTAATAGTGCGATCAAATAAGCTGAGATGTCGGTAATTTTTCGTGTAATTCAGACTGGCTCGAAAAAACTATGTTGTAAAGAATCAAACAATAACAACTGATTTTAATAAACATAAATAAAAAAACATTTTTTTTCTAAGGCTTCAAAAAAAAATGGCAAAAAAATGAACACGGTTTTTAGCGTCGGAAACGAACCATAAGCCTTATATATATACAAAGTATATGTGGCAATAAGACGAACAGAATAAGCTCCGGTTGATCTCAAATATTCCAGTGGTTTCCACGCAAAATGCAAAGAACCTCGTTTGTTGAGCCAATATTCAAAAATTAGTAACTCTATATTGCATAAACGTTCGTTAGGGTTAAAGCTTTAGTAAGCTTTTATAACCATACCAAATTTTAGCAAGATTGGATGGATGTTTTTTGCAAACTGCAGCTAAATGCAAAAAAAAAATACTTTAGCAAAACGGCCTATAAAAGGTGCTTAAAACGTTGGATGAAATTTTTTGTGGCATCATATTCTTCAATACTTACTCTACAACTTACCAAAGTACCCATTTATTTTTTTATGCAACGTGGAAGTTGGTTACTCGTTCCCGAGTATTTTTAAAAGCATACTTACTCGGTAACACTGGAGCCGAGCTTCATAGAGTGGACCTGGCCTATGTATTGGTTGCTACGGAGGCTTCTTGCCCCTCACGCGCCATACTGCTGTACGCAAAAAATACCCATGCGGTTTATCATTTTTTAAGCAACTTACACACTGCAAAAAATTATTGATACTTTTGCAAGTTGTAGAGTAGGTATTAAAAAATATATGGTCCCGCAAAAAATTCCATCTTACGTTGTAAACAATTTTTTTTAGGCCGTTTTGCCAAAGTACTTTTATTTGCATTTAGCTGTGGTTTGAAAAAACTATCCATCACATCTTGCTGAAATTTGGTGTGGTTATTAAAGATTACTAAAGCTATAACCCTACCAAATGCTTAGGCAAAAGAGACTTATTAATTTTTGAATATTGGCTGAAAAAACGAGAATCACCAAAAAAAGAATTTATTAAGTGAAAGATTAGTTTTCTATCATAACCCTTACGGTTATCTCTTACATCTTCCTGATTTTTAAATACGTAAAATATGTATTTGTATTTTTGTGGCTATAAAAAATTTCGCGTAAGCTCCAGGACTTACTTGCTCTGATAATAAAATTGTAAGATAGGAGAAAAAAAATTTTTTATTATTTATTTTTTTGTGAGTTTTAAATCTCTAGTTTTAAAAAATATCCCTTTTCGCAGATCACACAGAAGAAACTGCAAATAAATGGCTCTTAAGGGCCAACGATTATTGTATGGCATCAGAAACGCACGGTATTTTTCGGCATAAATACATTTTTTTTACTTTTTACAGTTTATTTTTTGACCAAATTAAGTGTATAGATCCCGAACAAAAATTTTCTTAAGTACAAATTTTTTGTTCTGAAAAGTGTCCCAAGAATAGATGTAAAATTTTTAACTGAAAACATTTCACATTATATGTCAACAGTAAGGTACTTCATTTAGTGAGTCTCATGTCTTGGTCGAAGCCGAGATGGGGGGGGGGGTCGCTAGTCGTCACATACGCACGTACTTTCATCCCTAGTCAATATTTACTACCCAAAATATAATTGTTTTAAATAATTGAGAAAAACTCTTTTGTAGCACAGCTTTCTTCAATACGATAGTATTACATGTCAGTGAAAGTCCCTTCAAGTGTTCATCACATATATTTTTTTTTGAAAAGTAATATCCAAACATCAAACGTATGTTCCAAATAGCATAAAAATACCCATAAAAAATGGCAGAATTTAAATACATCCTTTTTTGAATGCTTAAGTCTTAAAAAATGCAGTTTAACATGTAACCTTATAGAAAAATCACGATTTACATCATTTATATGATCTGTAAAAATGTCCCAGTTTTTCATTAATATGAAAGATTACTCTTCAAGATAAACCTATGAAATTTTTTAATACATTTATAAGTTGTTTATTTTTAATAAAACGAGAAAGAAGGGGTCAAGTATGTGGAAAAGCGTGTATATAAGTATATCGATTTGGGAAAAATAATTTTCAGCATTGCTGCATATTTGCGCTCTTTGCGTTCCTCTCCCCTCTCTGAACTTTTCTCCCGCTAACTCTGATGAACGTCCTTTAGTCAAAAAATTACCTTCGTCACGAGTGAAGAAATTGAAAAAGAATAAAGCACAATAAAAGTTAACTGCTGTATTAATAAAATACAAAAAAAAAGTTGGAAAAAAATGAGGAAATTTGTGGAGAGTTTAAACAATCATTTATTAATTGTAAAATTAAAAAATTAGTAATACATCAATAAATACTGAATTATGTGGACGAACGGGATTGATTAAAACTTAAGAAATAAAATTCAAAATATATGCTGTGCTCTGTTGCGTCGTGTGGTGTGGTGTGAAGGGATACGGTGGAGGTGGCGGAGAAAAGCGAGAGTGACATGCAAAGCCACTTCCGTTATATATTTTCTCAAGGTCAGAATTCTGAAATCGTTGATTTACTTTCGCTCATAACGCGCCTATAGATGTACAATTTAAAAAATTAATTTTTATTAGCACTTAATAGACCAAACTTTTTCAAACAGTAAATCTTTTTTCAGCTCAGTCTGCTGATCGGATTGACCGTCAATGTTCTCCTGGTAGGCAATTGTTATCAAATGTTAGTCTTGGTTTGATTAAGGCTAATATTCTGTTACTCGTCTTCCATCGCAATATCTGAGACAGTATCAACATAGCCACTACCATGAAACAGTACTGTTGGCTCAATCATACCTGGAGTTTTGCCTATAATATAAATTTATGTAAATATGTAAACTAATTGCTTGCTTTATTTATATTTATCATCATAATTTGTAAGCATGATGAATGTATGGGAGTGCCTTAATATTTTTTTCAGAGCTAAAAGCGTAACCTCTTATTAATCGTTCATTCTTAATATAAAAGAAAAATTGATCCTAGTACAAGGGTGATCTGAATCTAAATTGGTCACATAAATAAATTAATGGTTTATATTAAGACAAACTTGTTAAAGAGGAAAAATTTTGACAGCATTTTTAAATGAAATCAAACACACTGCTATGAAGAAAAGTTTTACTTACTGAAGGTAAATATTACATTAGAATAGTTCCAAGTAAATATTTCCTAGTAACCAGTACAAACATACATTGTTATAGGAAATTTTGTTAACACTTAATATTCTCTACTATGTAAACTTAGTGAATATTTTCTTAATTCATAAAAATGTATGTATTTTGGACATGTAAAGAAATGCTATAAGGTTAAAAAAACTATTTTATTCCACCAACAAAATAATTGATAGTGTTAGAAACGAAAATGATAAAATTAAATACACTACTTTCAATCATTCAATAACATAGTTATCACTTTCATTGAATTTTATACTTTAATTGTTCCAAGTAGAAATTTTATAAGAAATAGAACATACAATGCTTGTTCAAGAGAACATTCTTCGCATTTTATAGTATCTGCTCTCAAAACTAAGTAAATATTTGCTTGATTTGAATAAATTTATATAATTTAGGAATAGTGTGGCAGAATTAGTCATTCGATCTAAAGAATTCTTTTTAATTCTAAAAAATTTACAACGCTAGTTTTTTAGATATGTAATAAGTCACAATAATATTTAACATCTGAAAATTTCCGCTAATGTCACAAAAATCATAAAAATGACCAAAACGTGTTTGTTGCGTCTAGAAGAAAAACAAAGAAGAGTAAAACAAATTTTTTAAAAGAAAAGATGCGAAATTTCAAGACAATCAAAACGAGCCACGTTAAACCCAAATCGATCGGGCCGTTTTCTGCAAGTATAAGAAAACCGCTATTTTTGGCCACGTTTTTGAAATTTAATACCTCGCGTTGTGTTTAATATAAAGAGCTGACATTTATACTGAAAGTAGGTATCGTAGCACTAAACAAAAATACCAAATTCCAGCTTGATTAAGTGTAATCATCTTGCGGGCCGCAGAAAAAAAGCCCTTTCGTAAAATGGCCCTAAAAAACTTAAGTCGAGACTTTTGAAACCTTTCATCCTCTATCTTAAATCTCTTTCTACAATACATCAGAGTGCCGTTTATTTCATCGTAGTTGAGGTTCTTCAAAATTAGATTGCAAAAAACCGCCTTTTTACTCTCAGGTCCGTTAAACCGACGCGACGCCGGCTCGGTGAGCCACCGCAAGAGGCCATGCCCACTTTTCGCATACACGCTTCGGAACTTCTGAGAGAGCGCGTTCAAAATGAAAATGTGCAGCAAAAATAACGATATCTTTCAAACTACGTAACCAAAATAAGGTTTTTTTTAAATATGGAGTAACTTTTAATAATATTAAGGTTGCATGTATTTTCAAATCAATCAAAATAACTAAAACACCTGAAAATTGGTAAGTGCAAATCGAAAACATGTAGGTATAAAGAACATGGCCTTTTTTGGCGTTTGTGTAAAACATACCGTGGCAAAGCGTGCTATAATATAGAACCTGCTCTGATACAACGAAATGACGATCCCACCACAATAGACATTGACGAATCTGTGGAGGTACATATAGCGTCGTCGGTTGCAACGATCATATATAGATACAGAGACACTGAAAAAGTGAAGAAGAAGAAAAAGAGAGTGAAGAGTCATATGCTTAAAATTATTATAACGACGACGACGACGACGACGACGATGACGATGATGATGATGATGATGATGATGTACCTTATAACTCACTTATATTGAAACAAGCTACCGTCGCAAAACTTTTACTACGTGTGCATTCTTCAGCCATCTTATAAAGCGTTTATCTTACAACATCGATACGCAGTGATCCATCCAAAAATGTGAATAATTAACAATTTCGACATTTTTTACTGCATATATGTACAAGAAATATCATACACAATTTTGACAGCAGCTTGTACTTGATGTAATATTCAAGATATCAGCAGTTTTAACTATAATTTACTGCGTAATTATTGCACCACGATTGTGCTCGTGTCAATCGAGAGTAATTAGGTTAGACTCTGGTTGGTTGGTGACACTAGTAATTAAAACTACAATGAAGAAGTAAAGTAAACAACAACTCTCTAATGACTTAACATTACAGACAATCTATTTCAAGTCGTCTTACTATATGAATCGTGATTCAGTAAATGCGAACATCATTCGTAATGAATTAAACAAAAATTAAACCATTAAATCATCATTTTTGACTTTTTAACCATACTATACTTATTACTGTAGCACTTCACATACAATGAATTCAGTACCGAAAAGTTGCAATAATCAAAATATGAAAAAATAAGAAGCCATAACATTATAAATTGTATTTGTTCATATGTAAACATAATTTTTGTGTCCTATTACTTATTATAATATCTTTTATTACAGAAACTATAATAGTTACAGAAAGTATATGCATACATTTTAAGTACTTGACATGGATTCGACTATTTTCGTTCTTATGATTTCCGAGAACGGCATTCAGTTGAGAGGTGGCGTGTGACATCCCAAGTCATATACTGAATATTTATGACTTAGAAACACAGAGTTTAGTTCTAAAATCATAAAAAGTGAATGCTTAGCGATCTTCAACATCGTGCTGTATACCTCCTTCTGCGATCACGTGACGTATAACTTCTGTTAAAACAAGCTACCGTCGAAAAACTCGAACTACGCGTGCAACCTCCAAACAATTTTATAAAGCGCTCATCTTACAACATTAATTCGCACAAGTACATCCAAGAATGTTATGAATCAGTAATTTTGCAATTCTTTCATGCGTATATCTACAAAAAATATCATACACAATTTCGACAGAAACTTGAACTCCGAGAACGGTAAGACCCGAGAGATCAGCAGTTTCAACCATCAATTACTATGTAATTATTGCCCTACGACTGTGCTTGTATTAATCAAGAATAATTAGGTTGAGCTCTGATTGGTCGCTCGGATCTCTGGACTGACATGTACTGTTGTATAGAATTAGAATCATCGTTACGGTCAACCTTGTAAGATCTTGTGAATACGTGCGCGTATGCAGCAGCTAATTACTGATCTAAGAAATAAGTAAAGTTAAAAAAAACTTTGAATTGTTCAAGCACTGTGAATGCTAACTTAAATATATTATTTACATTATTTGTAAAATGGATTATTTCTGGCATTACTTAATTTATTAAATCATTAGATGAGACGTAACTTGCTTGTTGATTAAATTTATTTTCTTAATTCAAAAATTTCAAGATTCATAATTCCAATTAATAGAAACAGAAGCTCGGCATAAGACATATTAACACCACTCCGTACATACCGTTCAGTGAAACCTAACACCACAACGCCGAGTCAACGATTTAAAAGGAAAGTATACTGTAAGTAAGAGCAAACAAGGCCTTTAGGCTGGTTCCTGAAGAACAAAAACTAAATTTATTTATTCGTAGAACGAATTTACGAGTTCCACTCCTTACTTATAAGTTCAGACGTATCGGTGCATCCGCTTTTTGGTCTTATTTTTATATTGGCTCTTTGAAATTTCTTTTTTGTAAGCTTGTTACCATCTGGAGCATTATTTTATTAATTATTGTATGTTAAAATAATCATTTTTCTTAAATTAGATCGTTTCTACATAAATTTGAATTTTGAAATTTCGCGCGCAGCTCCGACTTCCAACTTAGTACTTGATAGTACCCCCTATCGCTCGCCAGGTGGCGACCACTAGTCTTTAGCGAAAATCGCAAGTAAGAAAGCGACGTAAAGTATATAAGACGGACTGTGTGACGACAGATTG